GATGTGTACATTTTTTTATGGGGCAAGTTTCCAAGGGCGGGTTTTCTAGGGGCGAGTTGACTGCCAAAGAGTGTTGACAAAGCAGTGCGAGCCAGCGTGTTATTTGATCACAAGTGTGAGACATCGCAAGTGTGAGCCAGCCAGCCATGACGTCATGACAATAGATATGAGACGTTACTCGAGTTGTGCGAGGTATCGGCTGAGATTTGTAGGGTACAATTCAAAAAACAACTATAGGTCTAATAATGAATTATTGTGATGTTAAATAGACAATGTTAGCTATCAAGGAGCGACGTTGTTTTTCATTGTAATGACATAGGTCTAAAAAAAGAAAACAAATCAAAGGCAAAATAAAAGTCATAGTATAATGGTCACAGAATGCGGGATATAGGCCTATACAGTATATACATACATATATATATTGATATATACATATATATATATTATCATATTAATATATATATATATAAACACATATATACATATGTATATATATATCTCAATAAATCAAAATATATTTAATATAGGATATATATATATATATATATATATATATATATATATATACAATTATTATATAGAATATATTATATACACAGTAAAGAAAAACAGTAAACGGTGTAGACTTTCAAAACATAATCATGTACAAATCATGACGTTGGCTTAAAGTAGCTAATCATGGGGGGTAATATTATTAGATAAAATTCACGGTTTTCTACATTAGTAGCATGGGTGATTAAAAAACGGAATTTAATTCAACCTAGATTTTCGGCCTATCATTCACAGGGTGACAATAATTTGCCAAATGACACAGTAATTTCTCAATCAGAAAATTTTTTATTCCTACCGGCCTGACTCTGACCACCTTTGTGTTAGCTAGACCCTTCTAGTCTATATCATGTTCACCCTGTTTCACCTTGTTTGATTTCCCATACCAAACAAATCCCTCACTGCTACCTTGTATCACTTCGTACAATCCACAGTATACAAGCCCCCGGGTTATAAATGGTGCAAAGTACTTTGACTTTTGGTGACCATTAGAGGAGGTTCTTCTAATATATAGCTTAGCAGGTAGCAGTGGCAGCGCCAGCGGGGTGCAGGGGGACTTAAGTCCCCCAACCGGACAGGTCAAGCCCTCGCTGGAGAGAGCTCGTCGGGCAGTCAGACCATAAAACATAAAAATAGGCCCACACCAAGCCAACACATATCTGTCAGTCTGAGAGTGCCATTTTCGGCCATCCAGACGTTGATATTCTTTAAAAAAAAATCTCATTTGGGAGGGGGAATCCCCTCTCAGCCCCTTCCTCCAGCTCGGGCCTACAAGCTCAAGTCCCCCTGTTGGACAAAAGGCCCCCAGAAAATATATCCTAGAGCCGCCACTGGCAGGTACTGTACCAGCGACACATGAGTGTGAATAATTAAACTCACATTTGACAGATGATAGCTTCCATCAGTTAGGTAGTGAGTTGAATATATTTATTCTCCAATTTCTTAAAAACATTAAAGATATTAGTTACAGTAGTTACTTATTATTGTATTTAGTTTAGACTATTGGTAAACTATAATACTGTATGTGCTCAAAGTCATCAGCCTTTAAGTGGGATTCTGTTTAATAGTTATGGAAGGTCCTATTAAACACCGCCCGAGACCGCCTGACAATGTTTTTCAACGCCAGAGTGTATACACGATTAGTATTTTACAAATAAATAACGGCCGAGGATAGATAATGACTTTTTGCTCAGGAATATATATACCGTTGACCGACAGAAATGAGTTAAATATTTAATAAAACACTAATTTAATTTTATAGACTTTCGGGTGTTTCGGTGTGCTGCCAAAAGGTGTAACTCGTTAACTAATACTGATAATGCGTTTAACAAAAGACTGTTGACGACAATAATACATACTTTATTCCCCTGCTGTTTAGTTAGTCTAATAAATTATGACCCTCTTGTTTATATCTACTTAATCATAGGCTTGATGATCCTTTTGTTATTATAATTCATTATGTCATCTTTAATCTACAATACAATAGTAGTCCGACGTTGACTTTTTTTTGGACAATTTGTTGCACACATGGTTTGACGGGTTTACAGCCCAAGTGGTGTGGAGCTCTGCGTTGCGCTAGGGCTTGGTTATACTGCAACAGCACTTGCATATCTGCCAGCAAAATCTGAACTAAACATGAAAACATGTTCTTCAAGGAAATGTGTGTCTATTGGTAAGTTTCCCGTCGATATATAATCAGGCGGTACTGGGGAGAGGCAACTTGATTTCCTGCTCATAATAAAATATATACTAAAAATTGCAAATTGCAAGTGAAGTGCTGCGAAGTACAACTGCATATAAATGTTCTTCGTCGAACAAAATTATTTATGCGAGTCAAGTGAAAATAATGAATAATAAAAATATAACAAATAATATGAGATATGACCCATTGTCTAGATCTAACACTTCTCATTGGGTAACAAAGTCGTAATTTTTCATTTTTGTCAAAAAGTGTCTATAGTGGTGAATTATGGTTTAAGTTTTTTTTAATAAAGTTTCAAAATTTCTATGTATGTAGAAAATGTAGTTGATTATCAAAGGTTACAATTTTTATTTTGAAGACTGCATGGTCTAGGAAG